ATGCCCAGTAAAAACAAAACAGCATCATACTGGAATAAGGTAATATGATCAACTGGAGCCAGGAGGTAATGGAATTATGTCCGGGAAATAAGTGACAATCAAAGACTAGAGATCTGAGGTGTCTCTGTCTAGAAACATTTCTTCGAGACTGAATGGAGAAAGAAGGCAGCCCAAAACCTCAACTAAGTAAAGCACCAGTACCTGTGTCCGGAACATTAAGCTTCTTTCTGTGCTTAAGTTTTCTGACAATTTTGTGGAATAAATCCTTTTTCTGAGACTGGAATGAACCTACAGACAACATTAATACATACATTTAATTAGTAGCTTCAGAAGGAGTACAACAGTTGTAGTATGTACTATACAACCTCCCCTTCCACTAATACAAGTTGCCATTTCATGGGGAAGGACAAACTCTGATCTTCTGCCAGAAGGGACCCTGGAGGCTAATAGTAAACAGGTCAACATGTCATACTGGGACCTGAGAATATAACTTCTGACTCCATGAGAAGCTTCATCCATACTTCCCAACTGAACAGTTTAGGCACAGTCACCGTGCAGGAATTGACAGGATGGCTGGCTGCACTACACTTGTTTCATGGGGACAGCAAGTCATGGAGACTTTAAACAAATGCCACTTGTGAACATTCAATCCAGAGAAAATCCATGACTGAAAAAACTGACCTGAAATTCTTGTTGTTAGGCAATGGACCCTGATTTCCTACAGAAAGTTGAAAACAACTTTTAGTGTTACTTTACTTCTTATTGTTATACAGCCATCTGCAAGTGTAAAGTAAATCCTTTTCTCCTGCTCATCCCTCTCTATTGGAAATATTCTACACGGCTCTTCCTCTCCCTAGCACTTCAGCAATTGCCACAGGATTTAATCCCTGGCTTGCCCATTATGCTCATTGAGGGTGGTAGGGATTTCCCCCTGGGAATACTTGCGACAGCCAAGAGCAGCTGCCTGGGGCAGCAGCAGGCAGGAGAATGAACTGTAAATGCAGTCCCTCCACATTTCTGGGCATATGCCTTTTCCACTCTCACAAAGTTCCCCATTTTAAAGGATCTAATCAAATAGAGAACACTTCAACAAGATCCTGGGAAAATCAGGACAAATAGGCTGTGCATTTCTGCATCTCTCAGGAGGAAGGCACTGTATTTTTAGGTCACGATCTCTGGAACATCATGGCATGCGATCCCCAGGCATCCGAATGCTTTGAACCGAGCCAGAAAAGCCCCAGAGCAAAGACCGAGAGGAATGCCACAAAGCAGCATCCATTTTAAGCTGATGCTTTATTTCTAGCCCCAGAGGCCACAGACAAAAAAAAAAAAAAAAAAAAAAAAAAAAAAAAAAAAAA